TCCTCCGTGTTTTTGTTGTTTTTCGTATTCTTTTCTTTGCATTGGATGATATACTACTGGGAGATGCAAAAAGCGATTTGTGAGCCAGGGGTTGCACAGAGACCGCAGGGCGATGCGACTGTCAGAGAGCGAAAAGTTCATGGGGTTCCTAGGACTCTTCTTGCTTTTTCCTTCTTTGGGGAATCACTGACCACCTACTGTTTTAATTTGAACCGCAACTATCCAGGACACTTTGTCGCGGGAACTCTCTAAGGGGTGAATGGACCACCGTTAGCGATACGCACGAAAAAATATCCTGCTGGTGGCGGTGGATGGCGTGCCAGTACAAAGACACGGCTCAGAGGGCGTAACTACCTCAAGTCACATCAGAGGTACAATAGTCCGTCAGTGCCGCCACTGTAAGACCGACTTCACTTGAACACATCCACAATGCGAACATAGTTCAATGAAGAACCACATGTGAGACTATTGGCTTTTTTAGTACGTCATCTCAAGAACGAACTAAAAGACGTCACAAACATGCTACTGGTTCTCGCGAATAAGATCAGTTTAAACTTGCGCACTTGCCTGTTCAATCTGTTCTTCACGACAGACTTTGTTCAACTCAGATCACTGTTAGAAGTCAGAAGAACATTTGTGGAATTCGAGCTGACAGAGTACGGTGTATTATCGTTCTACTTTATTACCCAGAGGCTCTTGTGCTTACATATTTCCCGAAGCACTGAAACGTGGTCGACTTGTAACGTATCCTGCCATGGTTTTTGTAATATATCATTGACCACAAGATTTGCCAAGTGATGCTTCCAGAGTTCATTTGAAGTCATATTCTACGATAAAAGGATGAGCGGGCACTCCTAATCACTTCCTTTCTTATTGAGAGACCTCTCCCCTTGCCGCTCGCCAGGATGGCAGGACAGTCTGGATTCTCCGTGCCTTTTACTGGTTGTCGGAGAATGTGTCTTCAATTCACGCTTACTCGAAAGCGCTGTAGTTAGTGGCCCAGAAGAGTCAATTCACTGGCTTCAAACTTCAACGAAAACATCAAAACCTTGACTTGAACAGTTCCTGGCTACCCGTAGGTAATATTATGTATTTCGTGATACCCGCTATTAGCATACCATGTTCAGATAACATTCCGATTATGAATCGAAATCGATTGTGTGTCACACCCCAATAGTGATTGATCAGCAATGCAGTTATCCATATTTTGCTGCGTTTCTTCTGGTGTTCGTGAAGTTCTGACAAATTACTATGAACAAGATGTCTGTCGATCAACAATGCAGATGTCCAGTTTTATTTTGCTGCTTTATTCAGATAGCCGTAAAGTTCTGACGAATTATTATCAGCAAGATCTGAGCTAAGAACGTTGGGAGGGCGGGGGATTCGAAGGACTCTTTGCACAAAAAAAAGATTAGTTTCATGTGAATAATTACCGTACTTGGAACTGGCCTCCGCACACCGGACTGATAGCTGTGCAAAAGAATGCCAGGGTACAATAATCAATCAGCTTAATTTCATTGATTTCAACCCACAGAAACATAAGAAATAGTGGTTGAACAGTACTCTTACAGTGTAGTAGGACGGGGGAAAAGTTGGAGGGGGTGGGAAGGGGTACCTAGCACCTTCTGATGGTTTTCTCGCAACGATGGTGTACTCAGAGCCTAAGTCTCTATTTCAGTAACTATTGTTTCGTTTGAGTGGTTCTACAAATGCTCTCCAAAGGTAATGTGCTTCAATTACGTTGCTTTCGTGTAAACCTTTTTCTGAGGCAACCCTGAGTTCTGACGCAGTGGACTGTTGGAACTGATGTCACTTTCCTTTAAAGTACTATTATCGCATTATCATGAATACGAGCCACTCTGGTAGTATCTGTGTTCTGAAAAAGGAATGGGTTATCTCTATAAGCGATGACATCCCTTCTTCAAATCTGTCTCATTTTCCTCTTGTTCCACTCTGACTCACCCTAGCCTGGCTCATGTTCTATCACATATTTCAGATTCCCCTACAATGAGACGTCCGAAAACATTGACCAAGCAGGACATTTTGCTGATCCTCACAATTGCTGGTGTCGTCGTGGGCGTAGTCGGAGGCGGGTTGCTTCGGTAGGTAGTGGAATTCGCATACCGTTCATGCAAAATTCTAGGGTTTCTGAATCATTAAGGTATTTGGATCCAAGTGAAGAAGTTAGGAAATTCATCGGATTACCTGGAGAATTGTTCATGAACATGTTGAAGGCAATGATTTTGCCACTTATTGTGGCAAGCCTTATTTCCGGTAGTTTTTGCTGCTTCAATCTCAAGTGCAATTCACAATAATTTTTCTCCAAAGGTCTGTCTCAACTCGATGGAAGTACATCGGGGAAACTCGGCAGAAGAGCCGTTTTGTATTACATCCTTACAACG